TGGTATCTGGTGTTTGGTATCTGATGTCTGGTATCTGGTATCCGGTATCTGGTGTCTGCATCTGGTATCTGGTATCTGGTGTCTGGTGTCTGGTATCTGATGTCTGGTATCTGGTGTCTGGTATCTGGTATCTGGTATCTGGTATCCGGTATCTGATGTCTGGTATCTGGTGTCTTTATCTGGTATCTGGTATCTGGTGTCTGGTATCTGGTGTCTGTGTCTAGTATCTGGTGTCTGGTGTCTGGTATCTAATATCTGGTATCTGGTATCTGGTAACTGGTGTCTGGTATCTGGTATCTGGTATTTGGTACCTGGTATCTGATATCTAATCTCTGGTGTTTGGTGTCTGATGTCTGGATCTGATATCTGGTGTCTGGTATCTGGTATCTGGTATTTGGTATCTGGTGTCTGGTGTTTGGTGTCTGGTATCTGGTATCTGGTGTCTGGTATCAGGTATCTGGTATGTGGTATTTGGTATCTGGTATTTGGTATCTGGTATTTGGTATCTGGTATCTGATATCTAATATCTGGTATTTGGTGTCTGATGTCTGGATCTGATATCTGGTGTCTGGTGTCTGGTATCTGGTATCTGGTATCTGGTATTTGGTATCTGGTGTCTGGTGTCTGGTATCTGGTGTCTGGTATCAGGTATCTGGTATCTGGTATCTGGTATCTGGTATTTGGTATCTGGTATCTGATATCTGGTGTCTGGTATCTAGTGTCTGGTGTCTGGTATCAGGTATCTGGTATCTGGTATTTGGTATCTGGTATCTGGTGTCAGGTATCTGGTATCTGGTATTTGGTATCTGGTATTTGGTATCTGGTATCTGATATCTAATATCTGGTGTTTGGTGTCTGATGTCTGGATCTGATATCTGGTGTCTGGTGTCTGGTATCTGGTATCTGGTATCTGGTATTTGGTATCTGGTGTCTGGTATCAGGTATCTGGTATCTGGTATTTGGTATCTGGTATTTGGTATCTGATATCTAATATCTGGTGTTTGGTGTCTGATGTCTGGATCTGATATCTGGTGTCTGGTATCTGGTATTTGGTATCTGGTGTCTGGTGTCTGGTGTCTGGTATCTGGTATCTGGTGTCTGGTATCAGGTGTCTGGTATCTGGTATTTGGTATCTGGTATCTGATATCTGGTGTCTGGTATCTAGTGTCTGGTATCTGGTATCTGGTATTTGGTATCTGGTATCTGGTATTTGGTATCTGGTGTCTGGAATCTGATATCTGGTGTCTGGTGTCTGGTATCTGATATCTGATATCTGGTATCTGGTGTCTGGTGCCTGATGTCTCGTGTCTGGTGTCTGGTATCTGGTATCTGATATCTGGTATTTGGTATATTGGTATCTGGTGTCTAGTGTCTGGTATCTGGTATCCGGTATCTGGTATCAGGTATCTGGTATCTGGCATCTGGTATCTGGTAACTGGTACTTGGTATTTGGTATCTGATATCTGGTGTCTGGTATCTGGTATCTGGTGTCTAGTATCTAGTATTTGGTATCTGGTATCTTATGTCTGGTATCTGGTGTCTTGTGTCTGGTATCTGGTATCTGGTGTCTGGTGTCTGGTATCTGGTATCTGGTATCTGGTATTTGGTATTTGGTATTTGGTATTTGGTATCTAGTATCTGGTATCTAGTGTCTGGTGTCTAGTATCTGGTGTCCGGTATCTGTGTCTGGGTCTGGTATCTGGTATCTGGTATGTGGTGTCTGGTGTCTGGTATCTGGTGTCTGGCATCTGGTATCTGGTGTCTGGTATCTGATGTCTGGTATCAGATATCTGGTATCTGGTATCTGGTATCTGGTGTCTGGCATCTGGTATCTGGTGTCTGGTATCTGGTATCTGGTGTCTGGTATCTGGTATCTCGTATCTGGTATCTGGTATCTGGTTTCTGGAGTCTGGTGCCTGGTGTCTGGTATCTGATGTCTGGTGTCTGGTATCTGGTATCTGGTGTCTGGTATCAGGTACCTGGTGTCTGGTATCTGGTGTCTGGTATCTGGTGTCTGGAATCTGGTATCTGGTATATGGTATCTGGTATTTGGTATCTGTTATCTCTTTATCTGGTATCTGGTATCCGATGTCTGGTGTCTGGTATCTGGTGTCTGGTATCTGGTATCTGATATGTGGTGTCTGGTGTCTGATATCTGATGTCTAGTATCTGGTATCTGGTGTCTGGAATCTGGTATCTGGTATCCGGTGTCTGGTATCTGGTATCTGGTATCCGGTATCTGATGTCTGGTATATGGTGTCTGGAATCTGGTATCTGGTGTCTGGTATCTGGAATCTGGTATCTGGTGTCTGGTATCTGGTATCTGGTATCTGGTATCTGGTATTTGGTATCTGTTATCTCTTTATCTGGTATCTGGTTTCTGGTGTCTGGTATCTGGTATCTGGTGTCTGGTATCTGGTGTCTGGTATCTGGTGTCTGGTATCTGGTGTCTGGTGTCTGGTATCTGGTATTGGTATCTGTTATCTCTTTATCTGGTATCTGGTTTCTGGTGTCTGGTATCTGGTATCTGGTATCTCGTATCTGGTATCTGGTATCAGGTATCTGATGTTTGGTATCTGGTATCTGTGGTCTGGTATCTGGTGGCTGGTATCTGGTATCTCGTATCTGGTGTTTGGTATCTGGTATCTGGTGTCTGGTGTCTGGTATCTGGTATCTGGTATCTCGTATCTGGTATCTGGTTTCTGGTGTCTGGTATCTGATGTCTGGTATCTGGTGTCTGGTGTCTGGTATCTGGTATCTGGTATCTGGTGTCTGGTATCTGGTGTCTGGTGTCGTATCTGGTATCTGGTGTCTGGTGTCTGGTATCTGGTGTCTGGTGTCTGGTATCTGATGTCTGGTATCTGTTATCTTTTATAAGTTATCAGTTTTCATTTTTCATTTTTTATTATTTTTAATTTTTCATTTTAATTTTTCTATTTTAATTTTTTTTTCATTTTTAATTTTTAATTTTTAATTTTAATTTTAATTTTTAATTTTTAATTTTTAATTTTTAATTTTTAATTTTTAATTTTGATTTTTCGATTTTTCGATTTTTCGATTTTTCGATTTTTCGATTTTTCGATTTTTCGATTTTTCGATTTTTCGATTTTTCGATTTTTCGATTTTTCGATTTTTCGATTTTTCGATTTTTCGATTTTTCGATTTTCGATTTTTCGATTTTTCGATTTTTCGATTTTTCGATTTTTCGATTTTTCGATTTTTCGATTTGATTTCGATTTGATTTTTGATTTTGATTTTTGATTTTTTGATTTTGATTTTTGATTTTTGATTTTGATTTTTGATTTTTGATTTTTGATTTTGATTTTTGATTTTGATTTTTGATTTTGATTTTTGATTTTTGATTTTTGATTTTTGATTTTTGATTTTTGATTTTGATTTTTGATTTTTGATTTTTAATTTTCGATTTTCAATTTTTCATTTTTCATTTTTCATTCTTCAGATTTCAGTTTTCATTTTTTAGTTTTCAGTTATCAGTTATTTGTTATCTGTTACCTGTTTTCTTTTATCTGTTACTTTTTATCTGTTATCTGTCATCTTTTATCTTTTATCTGTTATAAGTTATCTGTTATATGTTACCACCTGTTACCTGTTACCACCTTTTACCTGTTATCTGTTGTCTGTTATCTTCCATATAGCATTGAAAATATCCTGTATACAATTGTATAACAGACTCAGATTTATGTGAGATGCCGGCAACGTCGCATGTGTTGTTGTTAATACCATACATGGCGTTATAAAATCTTCCATGTAGCAAATTGTATAGCAGACTTAGATTTATATGAGGATCGTCGCATAAATCTAGCTATAACACGACTTGCAAAAAAATGGCGCTTGACACTGACATATGTCAACCGTGTTCGTCTACGGATAGCAGTGGACTATGCTTTCTTCAGTGTATATGTTTTTCTGTTTTGTAATGTCAATGTCATTGTCATAGGTAATTTTTTCTAACCTGGAAAATGAATGTATTTTGTTTAAAATTAAAATTCAATAACTCCTATTGTGAGATGTGTGCATCTACAACATAATGAAAGGAAAAATTAAGATTCTGAAAGTTAATTCCTAAATATCATAGTAAGGAAATCCGTAAAACTAAAAAAAAAGTAAACATAAACACCTTGAGAAAACTTCTTCCGTATCAAGTGGTTAAAGTGGAGTTTTAAAACAATTTTTGTTGAAAATAAGGCCGTTAGTTTACAAGCAGGTATGTAACTGAGCGATCCGCTAATGTGTGTGTATCTTGCTTATAAAAAATGCTGTATTTAGATATTGCTATTCACATGAACTACCGTTCTTTGATAGGATATTTTCAGATTGAACTTTTGTCTTATTTTTACTATTTATTGCAGGAGAACAGTTGAACCAGGTCCTGGTGCATACTTATGTAGTTGTCACTTTGTGGATGGGAAAAAAGAAAATAGACCTACATTGTTTAGGTATAATAGGGAGAAGCAATTGAACTTTCCATCGCCAGAAAGAAGAACCCGTAAAAATAACAACAATGTGAAAATTGAACTCTATAATATGTTACTTCAAATTGGGCCCTTTTAAGGGATGTATGTAATAATTATGTGATCTGCAGAAATAAAAATAGTTTCCCAGTAAGGAGCATAAATCATTTTAATGTAGAGTTCAGTACTCGTATAGGTAACTTTCACTCCCCTGGCAGGCTTAATCTAAGCGATATCACAAATATGTCTATACCAAGTTACGATTATACTGTGCAAGAGTACTTATCTTACAAATTTTGACAAGTAATGGTGTCTGTTGTTTTGACAAGTCTTGGAAGTCACAAGTCCTTAAAGCAGCTACATTCTAAATCGATTTAGATCAAAATAAACAACTGCAGTGGCTGTGAAAGTCTTAGTAATTTTGAAAACTTTGGTAGTAGATATGATTATCAATGCTATTTTTCAGCGCTTTGCATATTCCTTCATCTGCTTGATAATATTTGCCAATCGAAGGGATAGATGACAAGTTTGTTTACTTATTTTCCATTTATACATACTACTCACGTGAGATACTACTACTACAAGGTTTTTACAATATTTATGAGTTTGTTGGTGGTAAAGTTCTTCGTTTGGGAAAAATTCAACAGAAGCAGATGAACAATGCTCACTTTATGATCTGGAGAAAAATGTGCTATCGCCTTAAAATAAAATTTCCTCTATTTTTTTTAATGTTGTATGATTATGATCAATCAATTAGAAACATGACATATAATAATAACATCTCAAAAAATTAGACCAGAAGCTTGAAATTATTAAGTACTATAGTTGTTGGACAGTAAGTAATAGTATCGCTTGAAAATCAAATTTTGTAATCTGTTTCCTCTGATTCAATAATGAATTTTTCTGTAATCTATGATTAAGATCAGTCTTAGAAACAGGACAGATGTGAGTATCCTTGAAATTAGACATATAATAACAACATCTTTAAAAACAGAATAGAAATTTGAAATCATCAAGTGCTATAGTTTTTTGACAAGTAATGGTGTCTGTTGTTTTGACAAGTCTTGGAAGTGACAAGTCCTTAAAGCAGCTACATTCTAAATCGAAGTACATACATTCTGCATTGAGATCAAAATAAACAACTGCAGTGGCTGTGAAAGTCTTAGTAATTTTGAAAACTTTGGTAGTAGATATGATTATCAATGCTATTTTTCAGCGCTTTGCATATTCCTTCATCTGCTTGATAATATGTGCCACTGTTAGCCAGCTAATAGGTCTACATATTTAGATACATTGAACTGAGGGTCAAGACTGAACTCTTACTGAACTTCATAGAAGCGACTGACTACTTACGTTTGCAATAGAAACACATAAACTGTAAACGCTTCACACAACACTTTCACTATTTGTAGCTGCGATTGCTTGTTCTAAGCTTCTAATTAATCCTTATTAACGGGAGCCTCATTGTTAAGATTTCGATAATGTTTACATTCATACATTGTAGGTTAGAATGATGCAATGTGATGCAATCAGACATACGCTTTATATCAATCGGTTAGAAAAGCGGAGCTTTATGCCATATTGTAAAATTATAACATGAATAGGGGCTTACAATCATATTTTTATAGTATTTATAAACCGATGATGATTTCAATAAATTGATGAACGTCAAAGAATAATTGCAGCCTTTGGCGGTAGACATCGCAATCTGTAAAAATAAAAAACTACTAGATTCATCCGATTTTAATGGCTCTAGTCCGGTCCGTTTAGACAATGGAATATAGAAATTTTGAATCTTTTCGAAAATGTTTATTTTCACGCGTAAAAAAGGACAATTCTATTTGGCGTGATCCTATATTCGATGAAGCGACCGACATAAAGCCGAAAATAGCACGTTTCGGACGTTTCGCTCGCACTCGCTCGCTTTCGTAATACGATCGTATCTACAATACCCCGCCTAACAGGAATCCGGGGATCTGGAGGGGAAATTCAAAATTGAAACGTCAAACTAAAAATGTGTGCATATCTTTGAATTTTCTAATCTGCCGAGTTTAAAAAATGCGATCGGGTAACGTGCCGTATGTCGGTTTAATCAGGAGACTTTGGCCTGTCGTTTTGCGAAAAAAAATCGTAGCTACGTCGCTCCGTAACGCAGGTGCGTATCGATGAAGACAAAGTACGCCGAAAAACGGTTGTCATCGGTACTTTTGAGGCGCTCAAAGTTTACTTTTTCGAAATTTGACGGTAATTCTGACGGTCAGAATCGTTTCGTCAGATCATTATCGTTATTTTTCGATAGCTGTATAATTTTTACTCGCTCACGTACGGTAGTAATAAGCGAGGACAGAGCCGGATGACAAGGTGACTTTTTCACGCGTCGAAAAATAGCGTATTGTCGAGGAATTTTTAAAAAATCGAAACTTTTCAACGTAAACGAATAATGATGATGAAAATAGTATTAAAAGAGTGTCCGAAGCATGGGCTTTCTCACGCAAAAATCGTCAGGTTCGTAGCTCCTTTATCTTCGGAGGAGATAGCTGATATACGGCGAAGCAGCGCGCTTTATACGCAAAAAAGTCATTCTTGACGACGTTCGAGGTTCGTTTATTCGAAACGGGTACCGTAAACGAAAAAACGTCTCTCTGCGTAATTTGTAGCGCTCGCCGAGATGTACGAAACGCGGCACGCGAAATTCCTTTTCTCGTCGGCATAAGGGAGATATCGTAGTTTTCAAGGCGATTCGTCATTTTTGTCGCTTTTTTTTCGAACGTTTCTAGAAAAAAAACCGAGACGCGGAACCGAACAGATTTAGCTTATTGGCACGTATTTTTCGTTTAGCTATCGAACGAGACCGATCTCGAGTCGATATTTCGATAAACGGCGAAACCAGTGTGAAATAACGCCGCGTACCGTCCGGAAAACGGTCGATTTTTCGACTTTACCGGCCGTTTTCGATCCGATCCGTTCCTCTCGCCGCGACGGCTCTCGCCCGCCCGTAAAGCGCCGAGTTTCTAGTTTCCGAAACGGTACCTCCTTCCTTCCGAACGTTTCGCGAACCGGGAAAAAACCGAAAAAACCGCGTCGACGTCGCCCGCCCAAAATTTCTAACGTCACGTGACCTCTTCCTTAAAACAATCGATCACCGCTTAATATAGTCGATAACAGTGCTCTAATACTCAATGTTGGTGCCATTTAAATAGCCCCCAAGAAAGCTCTAAAAGTCCTTAGCCTGTGAAAGTGAAGGAAAAGTTTGAGTAATTGATGTAACATTTACTACAAATACTTAATAATGGAACAGTTTGTTACATTAAGTACATAATTTTTGAACCTGTTTTCGTTTTTCATGCCCCTTGAATCCATTACATTCTTTGGACCTTATATGGAGACAGTGTACATTTATATGTATATGCAGCTTACCTGATGTGGTCAGTAGAATTTCTGGATTTATATTTTACTTCCTCCTGAAAATAGTGTCCATTTCTTCCGCAAATTCAAAGTATTTTCTGCCACGTCCAGTACTGGAATTATTTTTCACATAGCACTTATAATTTCTCTCCAGCACCCGCCAACGATTTTCGCAGTTTTGGGGTGTGTATTTTATTACACTTTCTCTTCATGTGTTCTGATATTGTATCCCACATTTTTTTCTGGGCTTTTCATTTCCATCCCACCTACTTTACTTCTGAATATTTTGCAACATTCAATTAACATTAGTGCACGTTCTAGATTTCTGGGTCCTGAAACATCGATATTTGTAAAAGTATCCGCATCCACCTAGTATTCATTGTCTAGATATTATAAGTCAGAATCAAAAATACCTATTTATGAAAATATATCTCCAAACATTGTTATATTTTCCTATTATTTCTATTATTATAACTCGTCTGGGATATCAATTGATTTTAAAGTGATCTGCAGTGTTGCCGAACCGTAAAAAAATGGAATCGGTAAATAGTGTCGTTGAGTTCAGTATAAGGTAAATGCCGTCCCAAATTCAGTGGTAGATCAGGGACATTTGAGTCATGAAAAACGTCTGTTATTGTATTGGGCGCGCACACAACATGTCTTTTAAGGGCATAGTTCTATATTACAACTTCTACAATGTGCATACTGGTCGCTCTTTCAAAGTACTTTGCAAACCATTCTGGAAACTCCTATTTCCTTTCTAGTGTGGATGTTTGCTCAGTTCCTGAACAACTAAAAATATTCAACTTTTTGGATGTATGGATATCAAAAACCCTAAATGGTTTTGTGGGAATATCAATCTAAGGTGCCATAATGGTTCTGATGAACGGCAGGTACATGAATGAATATTTGGAAAAGAGCAATATCTATGAAATTTTTGGTTGTTTCTGTCATCAGGTAGGTGTTTAATGGCTATCTGCAAGAGGTATGTAGTAAAAAAACTCGGTGATGTCAAATAAGTAAAATCGCATATCAATTGAAGAAAATAATAATTATAAACATGTATAAAAAATCAACAATAGTAATTAAAACATGAATTTTATTCAAAAATCAAGCATTTCTTTAAATTTTGACTGAATTATATGTAATTTCTTCATATTCAATAAGCTGGTGATGTTTCAACGACAAGCTAACACCTCATACTTTGACAATATTTTGTTTTCAACATTTCATAGGTATTGGTTGCTGAAATTTGTTGATTGGATGTTGAAGCTCATTCGCTGTATTTAACAGACTGTTACCCTATAGGTGGAGAATAACGGACTGTTAATTCTACGACCTTGGTGACATCCACCCTAAGGGCTAATTTCACCAACAACAGTCCGTTATTTTCCACCTATAGGGTAACAGCCCGTCAAATACAGCGAATGAGCTTCAAGTTCAAATCAACAAATTTGAGCAACCAGTAGGTATGAAATGTTGAAAACGAAATATTGTCAAAGTATGAGATGACATCTTGTCATTGAAAGATCACCAGCTTATTGAATATTAAGAAATTACATATAATTCAGTCAAAATTTAAACAAATGTTTGAATAAAATTTATGTTTTAATTACCACTGTTGATTTTTTATTCATGATAATATTATTTTCTTCAATTGATATGCGATTTTACTGATTCAAGATCATCTACTGGGTGTTTTTTCCTATAAACCTCTTGCAGATAGCCATTAAGCACCTACTTGATGACAGGCTCTACCAAAAGATATTGCTCGTTTGTAAACATTCATTCATTTACTTGCCGTTCATCAGTACCATTATCGCACCTTAGATTAATATTCCCACAAAACCATTCAGGTTTTTTGATATCCATACATCCATAAAGTTGAATATTTTTTATTGTTCAGGAACTGAACAAGCATCCACACTATATCCACAGCGATTAATAAATTCCCAAATATACGCCTTAAAGCTACCATCAAACCTAAAACCTGCAAAAAAAACTACAAATTTGCCATATTTTTCTTTTTTCACGAGTACACATACTAGGTTATATTTATATTAGACATTATTTGACTACAGCTGATTATTGCATTTCAAGGAGTGACACATGTGGGATCTGTCAACTCTTGGTACCAGTCACAAAACATATTATACTCTGAAGGTTTAATTCCATGCTATTCAATGACAACACGGTGACTTGTGAGGATGCGACAGGATTGCCAGATTGTGCATCAATATCCCGTTTCACCCTCCTGGTCCCAGTGGAGTAAGTTCCGCCAACTGTTGAAATATACTCTACTATGCTTTATAAGACTATTCGTGACATTTTTCCCAAAATCATTGCACAACACTTGAAAAAATGCAAATGAAAATTTAAAATTATTTCCTTGACGCCGCAATATAGCTCAGTCGGTACCTTGGGTTATACATCTTGACAGTAGGGATGTTCGATACTATCCTATATTTAGAAGTATCAATACATTTCACGAGTATCGTCATCTTTCGATCCGGACTGTGTCAGAAAGAGTGACTGCCATTTGGCTGCGACATTACCTTGCCAAATCAGACATATCGCTCATCATTTTCAAAGAAATTGTACAAAATCTTCAAATTTGTGAAGTTAGCGAGTTTCACTTCATACGTTGTTACCAGACATGCCCAAATCATCAGTTGCTGCCGTGATATTCATCCCGACCACTGCATCCCCACGGCTAGGCGACCTGTATGTTAAATTTGTATTGATAGGGCAGCGGGTTATGCTATAAATCATATGTCACAGTGTTTGTGCACTGATTGCAACGGTTAGATGATACCAAAAATATTTTCATAAATAGGAGATCTTTCCCATTCTGGATCGAACAATCTACCAAAGATGCTTATAATCATGACACCTAGTAAATTTTCACGAAAAAAATTCAAAACCAGCAAATGTAAAAGAAAAATAGATAAACAATAAAGTTTATACTAGTTTTTTTTTTGATTTTTGGACTCAAAAGCCATTATCTTTGAAACATTTTTCATAATTTTTTGTCTATGTCCATAGTAATTGCATTATGCATCACGGAGATGTAGGGATTGACACGTCTTACACATATTATCTGTCTTTTAGGATGGAGAGGACATAATGTTTTTATTGCTTTGAAGAAATTCATTGTCGAATAAATTAATAAATGATTACTATTATGACGTAAAGGAAGATGAGTAATTGGATGGAATGTATTTTATATTCTATTTTCTTGCAAAATAGAGACAAATCCACACTATTCAACAGGTATGTAATAACTTTCAGTATATTGAAGTTAGTAAATTCAAGAGTGCCATGAATTAACAAACGTCCAAATCTGCTGCCACATTTAACAGCTAGAAAATCGACCTATTATTTGCCGCATTCCCATTCGCTGAGGGGGATAACGGATTGTTAAGTGTAAACCGATAGCATATATCAAAATACATGAAAGTTGTCCTGTTCTTTCTGCACAAAAGCATCATATTGGAATCAAAAGGTGGTCTTGTTTATAATACAGTCGAATTTTCACGATTTTATTCAATATTTCAATAGAAATCACTAGTATTCAGAGACCGCTAGATGGCGACGATTCTAGCTCTGCGTAAATAGTAGGTGGTAACTACTTGCCATTTAATAAAATAAACATGCTACCCGTTTATCCGACCTACCAAAGACATCCAACCATGGACAGTTGTTTCTTACTTTCTGGGTACTTTTCAGTATGGACAACTAACGACAGCGTAACAACTCTACACTATACAAAGTGCGCAAGCTGCCGTATACCACTAGAATCGACCACGGCGACACAGTTTATAGTAGGTTGCTGATTCATACAAGCTCCGGCAAAAAATATTCTCAAGAGTTTCCAATAAGCTGATAGAAGGAATCTACCGAGATTTTCCACCCGAGAAAGGTTATAAAAGCTTTTTCCTGTCTGATAAAATGTGAGGAGGTTGTCGTCAGTCTTCCTCGTACCGAGTTTAGTAGTTTACAGAATATCAGGCAGACATACATAACTAACAGGTATTGTTTTTGACACTTGACGCTTTCTTACGAGGTAATAGCTATGGCCGTTCTGATATCGAATTGCTTAGCTCACTTGCGTTGAAAACTCGCTTACCTTCCAGCGCCTATTATGTGAACGATACAAAGGAGAAAACTGTCCAAATCGGGTGAAGCAATTTTTCATGAGGACTCAAACGAATTGTTCCGTTTCTGTGGGTCGCTAGCCAAACAGACCGGCACCTTTTTCTTCTCGTCGACATCGTCAGCTAAACTGGTGCTGC